GAGTAACGCAGTGCAATAGGGAATAGTCCAAGGCGATACACTCAGCAAGGAGAGGCGCAACAGTCCGAGACGATTCATTAACCAAGACACAATAGTTCAATAAGATACACTAATCCAAGAGGCACTAATCCAATAAAACACATTAATCCAAGACTCAATAAGACAATGGAGTGGAATGCAAAAGAGGAGGCAATAGTTCAATGCAAGAAACAATAATAGATGATGCAATAATACGAACGCAAATCAATACAATGCAAAACAAGAAGAACTTTCTCAATGTAAAAGGCAACAATACAGCAAGATACAAAGCAAAGCGAGAAGCAATAATAAAGGAAGGAATAATTCAACACAATGCAAAGCAACACGAGAGGCAATAATACAATGCAATTGCAATACAATACAACAGGTGACTACGCAAGAGTCAAGAGTTCAGTACAATACAACACACAACAAGAGACAATAATCCAATCCAGTCCAAACATCCAAGAGGCAATATTACAATATAATTGATCAAAGAGACAATAATACAATGCAATAGAACGCCAAACAAGAGTCAGTAATTCAAAGCAAGAGGCAATAATAAATGAGGCAATAATTCAGTGCAATCCAATCCATTCCAAAACAAGAGGCAACAAACCAAGACAACAAGCACCTCACCTTTTCTGGGTTCAGTTACCAGAATGTTGCTGCTACTCCTCCAAAGCTGCTTGCGGCACCTGCAAAATTAAAAGGCAGAGGCACCCACCCTAGCTCATGAGATGATTACTTGTGATGAGACAAACCGAGATTCATCTGACTTTCTAACTGGCACATAGAGGCCCAAGTAGTTTATGCCACATCTCGTGACTTTTTTCGTACCTCCCATCACCTGTGGGGAGACTAAAACGCAGCAGACCTTGTCAACATGAAAATCCAATTGCTATACCAGACAGAAGCAGACAAATCCTCCTCCCTTTCACAACCAGTCTTTGCTCTCAAAGCCTTAGAATCCCCTTCTCTTCTTCTCTACTATCAGGGAAGCAACCCCACTGCTTCCCGACAGCTCCTTCCCTTATTTGCACACCTGAGCACCCTTGCATAGGCCACACCTCGAGAGCTGCTCTTCTGAGCCGTGTCCCGCGTTCTGCGGGCAGCTCCCACCTGCAGCCTTCTCACAGACTCTGGGCACAGGTATAGGGTTGAAAATTATGTAAAGTTCTGAGACTTTTAAACCACGAGGGGCCTGACTCAAGCTGCAGGCATTCTAGGGAACAATGTGGCACTGTAGGTTTTCTGGCCGTCCCCTACCCAGGGAGACACCGAGCCTCATATCCCTGCTGCTTTAGTAAGAAATGTTAAAACCCCATATACAGACGAATACAAAATGCTCACCTTACACCCTTGCTAGATGATCTCAGCATCAGTCCAATGAGAAGAAACGATATCAGCAATTGCTCAGCATTGAACAAATCTGCTGAAAAATAGAAAAAACAACAAACCAAACCTAACACAAGGTACCATCTTCAATAAAGTCTGGAATTCCAGCAAAATACAATAAACCCACAATAACAAAAAAAAAAAGTAAAAAAAAAACCCAAAAAACCCCAAACAACACATACTATGCATGTCAAAACAGCCCTGCCCAAAGAGCTGAGCCAGCTCCAAGCTGCCTTCAGCTGAAGGAACAGCAGAGCACTGACACCAGAGCAGCCCTGGAGCAGAATGAGCTCCCTGGACAGAGGCTGTGGCCCAGGAGGGGCTGCTCCTGCCACCAGGTCTTCTTAGACAAAACATACAGCAAATAACATCAATAAATGTTAGCACAGACAGAAAAAACAACAGGGAAGAGAGCACAAAGTAAAAAGTGAAGGATTCACCATGGAGCTCAAACAAGATCTGGACACTCACTGGCAGCCCCAGCTCCACCTGCAGCCTTTTAACTCCTCAGCTCCCATCCTCACTCATGGCTCCCACCTGGGCTGCCCCAGCCCCACAGCTGCTGACTGTGGGGAGCGGCCCCAGCCCCACAGCTCCTCCCCGCAGCAAACAGACATACACAACTAGAGCAGAGACACAGAAGGAAACTTTCTGAAAAGGCAGCGCTAAAGAAGGACAACGAATAATACAAAAATAGAGACACAGAACTGGATAGAAGTAGACATAGGACATTTAAGATCAACAAGAACTAGGAGAAATCAAGAAAAGAGACAAAACCATTGAACATTAATTTTGTAATCAAAGAGGTTCAAGACAGGCAGAAAGTAATTAAAATATAGGTACAGAGGACTAGACAAAACTAAAAGAGATGTAGAAAGTAAATCTAAAAATTGAGCACACCAAGAACAGACAAGACATAATCAAAAAATAATGGCAGCAAACAGGGAAAAGGTACATAGAAAGATTTAAAAAAACGACAACACTAATGACAGAAGAGCAAACTGATAAACACTGCAAACAAGAGAGAAGTAGACTCTGAACAGACTACCTTTATGCCACACTAAGATGAGTATTTGTGGCACTTTTCGGCTAAGCATGTTGCTTACTTATCACCTGTGGTGAGGAAAGGATGATCTGAGAGGCAGGAAAGTGTTCCGTAGCTGCTCAGATGCAGCATGTAGCATCTACATCTGGGACACATTTACCCACTTATAAGCATCAGGACTAGTGGAGACAACATGAGGTGTTCCACCAGTTCTTGAAGGTAGTCATAGGCCACATCTACCAGCAGCGTATGAATGCTGGTTCAATCACTACCTCAAAGAACTTGATCTCCATGGGTGTTATGAGACTGGACTGGCTGTGGTAGAATTTGAACAAAGGCAACTAAAATTGTGCTGATCAAGGCTGTCACTCTGCCAGCTCAGCCCTTGAAGTGGTCTCTGAGAGTCACACCAGTCCTGAGAAGCTGATTGAAGGAAGCTGCCCGGGTTTGCTGTAGAAGTGAGTTCAAAGCTATGCACACCCCCAATGAGAGACAGCCAGAGTGTGCTCTGGGAGCAACGCATCTGAAGTTAAATGCAATTTGGTCCCTTGAGTGTCTAGAGATCACCAATGAGGTGGATTGTCTCAGCCAGGGTCTGGCTGCCAAGAGAGGCATGAGCATGGGGCTGCCTCATGAAAGAAAGATGGAGATGAAGCATCCCAATGCAGCAGATGAGAGGAAACATCCATGTCTAAAGTAGGTATATGAGTCTGAGTTTGTCTGCCAACTCTGCCCATTCCTCAGCTGGCCAGTAAGTTGGTTTTGTACCTCTGCAATCCACCAATTAACAGTGCGGCACTAATCAGTGCATGGATCTGAGCTCAGGCTCCGAATCTGCAGCCAGTGCCGCAGACCTGACAGGAGGACAGGCTCCTGGAGGGACACAGCAGACACTGCCCTGGTGCGGGCAGAGAGGGGATCTGGCAGATCCCGCTGGGCAGGAGCAGCGCTGCTGAGGGTTTTGCAGTCCCTCCGTTGGCTGTGCCCGAAGCATCCCGCTGCCTCCCTGCCTGGGCCAGGTGCGCAGACGCTCCCGCGGCTGCAGCAGCTCCTGCGGTGCGGCGTCCACCGATGGGGTCCGGATGCCCTCCGCCGGGGGTGTTCCCACTGCTGTCTCTGCCCCACAGCCTTCCCGGCTGCCCAGCCTCCAGGATCCCAGCTGTCCATAGACCCCAGGGAACCAGGCACCGAGTGCTCGGGAGGAGGTTGGCAGTGATGCCAGTTGGATAGGGAGGGTGTCTGCGCCCCTCGGCCCTGCGTCCCCGCCTTCCCGTCCTTTGGCTGTCTGCCTGCCCCTCCCTTCTCTCGCCATCGCAGCCATCCCTCTGCTCACGTAGCCCCGCATCTCTCCTCCTGCACAAACATCTCTTGTTCTGTCTCCCTATCCCTCCCCGTTCTGTTCCCCTGTCTCAGATGTCTGCCCCTTCCTCTCTCTCCGTTCCTCTTCCCTCTACCTCTCCGTCCATCTGGCTGTCAGTCCTTGATTCTGGCATTGATTCTGGTGAGTGGCTGCTTGTTTGTGCTTCACTTTGTTATTCTGTCCTTACTCTCTGTTCATTGTTACCACTCGCTGGGGAAAGTTTGCCCCAGTTCCGTCCATCCCTCTGTCCATCCCTCACCCCTACTGCCTACTTGCCCCCAATCACTCTGTCTATTCACCCCTGTCAGCGTGATGGTGGGGTGGGGATTTTTCTGGTGCTCCCACCCTGTCCCCCACAGTGGGAAATGGGGAAATTGAGGCAAATGTGTCAGAACCAGAGATTTATGTGATGAGTTTGGGGTGGAGGGCAGTCCCTTTCACCTGGCACTTTGCCAGAAGACAGCCAGGTAACACCTGAACTACACCCTCCCCCTAGTGCCTTTCTGGGATTTGCTCTGCAGTCATGGAATACCTGACCTTGGCCTCTTTTCTCTCTCCATCATGTTCCCCCTTGTTATCTGGACTTTGAACTTGCCCTCACAAGTTCACTGCATGAACATGTGCTCTCTCTTGTGCAGCTTCATTTACACAGTACTGTTTGTGATGGGTACCTGCTCATCTCTTATAAAATTGACTCTTCCATCTGTCCGCTCATCCATTTCAACAAGAATTCTGTTGTCTCTCTCCACCTAACATCCATCTATCCCAAAATGGACCTTCTCTGCCAATCAAGCCAGCTGGCCAGCCATGATGGATAGCCATGTATTGTTCATCCCAGTACAGTCCCATCCATTCATCCATCCATTCTTGCTTTCATGCCTTCTTCCCTCCATCTTCTCTCGCTATCCCTCAGTTCTCTTCAAGATTCCCCTATGCTGGGGCTATGGTGCAGACCTCCCCAATGCAGAGATACTCCTGGTGACTTCCCAGTGCTTACAAACAGGGATTTCTGAATTCCTGGGTTTGCTCTGGCTGTATGTACGTGGTGGGTTGGGGCTTCCAGCTATGTGAGTATGACTGGGAAAATGGCAAGTAATCTTCATCAAATAGGGGATACCTGGTGGCTTCTGTGGATCTTCCCTCTTACAGGTGAATCTTCTTGTCTGCAGGTCTCCAGAAATGTGGCAACAGAGCTTTGGACTTCTAGGAAAATCCTATGCCCACAACGGTGAGCTGGGAATCAGACAGCTGAGGGACATTTGGAGGATGGGGAATGCTCCCAAAGGGGGACAAAGAAAGGAGAAGGATAGGCAGCCATAAGGAGAAATATCTGGACTGGATCTTCTGAAAGTGAACCAAGGACGAGAATTGTCAAGAACTCTACAGGAAACGGATGGGGAACAGAAGTATGGAGAAAAAGGGAATCTGGAGGGCAGACACTGTGCTATGGCAGGCTCACACCAGACCCTCAGTAACACTGGTCACCTAGTCTTGGTTTCTAGGGTGGGAACAGCCACATACTTGCAGCAGCTCCAAACACCTCCTTGTGTTGTTCATATGTGCTGATGGACAAGTTGCATCTCTCTCAACAGCAACAGGATCCTTTTTGCTGGGGAAGTGGCTCCACATACCACTGTACACAGTGCCTCTGTGCAGTGCTGTGGTGGACGTTGCTATCCAGGATTATGTGGCTGATGTGGCCTCTGAACTCATCTACCAGAACAAAAGTCAGATTTCCACAGAAGTCCTCTTTGTCTTCCCCCTGGGCCCCCACATGGCCGTCTACTCCTTCCAAGTCCGCAGTGAGGATGCCAAGATCCAGGCCATGCTGCAGAATGAGGTACCACCATCCAGGGATGAATGGGTGAACCACCACAGGGGCACAGGATGAGCAGCCATGGCCTGGTGATCAGCTTTCTGTCCCTCCCGTGCCACTCAGGCCCAGCAACTGCACGAGGCTACAGAGGACTGGGAGAATCTGGAATACCTTCAGGATCAGTCCAACTATCCAGGCGAGGTGTTTGCCTGCTTCCTGGGCACCCTGTCCCCTGGCAGGGAGGTGGTCGTGACCTTGCGCTATGTCCAAGAGCTGTCACGGAAGCCAGATGGAGCTGCCCATTTTGTGCTGCCACGCACACTGCATCCCTACACAGAACTGTATGGTGAGTGACCCCATAAGGAGTCTGCCCTCCGAGTCACACACCCCACAGATGGGCCAGACCTCCATGGATTTTACAAACTAGCTCGATGCAACTTGCCCTTACATCCACACGAGGACCCACGTTTTCCTTCCTTGCAGCCCCTGGACAGATCCACATATTCTTCCCTGTGCCACATGAGGGGATCCACACTTCCTACACACATTTCCCATAAACAGACTCATGAAGCCCTCCATATAACACACAACAACTCACAAGTTTCTCCATATGCCTTGTATATGGATGCCAAATCCTGCTCCCCGCCCCCCTCGCCACCTGCCACTCCTGCAGGGAGAGCCTTTGCCCTTCCCCAGTGCCATGTTTCTCCTTGCAGCCTGTAATTGTCTCACTAGCAAGCTGCCCTACAGCCTGCTGCTCACTGCTAGCCTGCAGTCACCTCGTGGAGTGGCCAATGTCCAGGCCAACTTCTCCCTTACCCCTTTGATCTACACTGCCCAGGACCGCAGCACTGCACAGGTAGGCCCTCGTGAGTGCTGGGATCCCAGGGGGAGCTAGGGAGGTGTGTCATCACTGAGAAAAAGGTGGGGCGGTGGTGCACTGGGATCACTGCCTGTGCTCCTGGCCAAAGGCTAGGTCTGGTGCCCTCCTGCTGTGTATGACCAGGCATCCCTTCTCCAGGTCTCACTAGCTGGCAGTCCCTCAAGTCGGCATGATTTGGAGCTGCTGGTGTATTTTGAAGAACCCACTGCAGTCAGTGCCATGGTGGAAATGGGAGACCCAGGGGCCCCTGCAGGTGAGAGAACATGGAGACACCTCTGGGTTGCAGGGGACATGGGGAGACACTGGGGATCTTGGGAGGTGAGATATCACTGGACACTAGGATGGGAATGAGAAGCATTCAGATGGGATAGTTTGGGTCCTGAGGTTCCAGGATGGGGTGCTGAGGACACTGTGGTGAGGTGTCAGATATAGCAGAATGCATATGGACCATTCTATGTTAGGGCTCAGTGGGGAGCCGTATGGAGGCACTGGATTGGAGTACACGGGGCACTGGGCTGTGCAATTGGTGGACAGTACAGTAGCATATTGAGGTACCAGTGCGCAGTGTCACAGATTCTGGGATGGTGGAAGCTGAAATAACAATCAGAACCAGGATGAGGAGTGGGGTCCCTACCTGGCCTTTGTCCCACTCCATACCTCCTCCAGGCTCCCTGCTTGGTGACCCCATGGTGTTGGTGATCCTGGCACCCAGCATTCCTGAGGCAGTGCCGGGGCAGCGCCAGTCTGGAGAGTTCTTCTTCCTGGACACCACTTTTCTTGAGCATGCACAGGTACCCCCACAGAGGAGGAAACAGGATGGGGTGGAGGAGCAGGTTGAGGGGGAGTGAGCCAGGGCAGGCATTTATGAAGGGACAGATTATGTGAGGGGGAACTGTTGGGGCCTGAAATGGTCCTGGAATACCTCGGGTTATCCAGAGGAGTCCAAAGGCTTTAGGAGGACAATACTATGGGAAAAGGCACCCACCAGTGTCTCCCAAGACTTGCCTGCTGTGTTTTTCCACAGGACTCCCTGCTCTTCCTTCTCAAAAGCCTGCCCCTGGGCTGCTACTTCAACATCTACTGCTATGGATCAACGTCTGCAGGTATCTACCCGTGAGCAAACATACGGCAGGCTGGGTGCTGTGGGGCTAGAATGGGTCCTATGGGGCAGGGTTAGATGCTGGAGGGCAGGTGTGCATGCTCTGAGATCAGCTGGTTGGTACTGGGGGAAGGTTGGGTGCCGGAGAGCTCAACTGGCTACAGCAGTGGAAAGCTGGATTCTGGGGATGGGGTTTTTTTGTGGCATTATAGGTCAGCACTTCTTGGGGTTCTGTTGAGCAGAGCCTTGTAAGAACTATGTAGTAAGGTGTCTTCAGGAACTACTATGGGGCAGGGTCTTGCAGAGGACCCTAAGGCATAGCTGTGGGAAGTGCTACGGGGCAGGGTCTAATGGAGCACCAAGGCCAGCACAGAGCAATGTGCTGTGCCCCTTGCAGGCAAAGTGTTGAATATACTCAAGACAACATGACTGAGGCCATGAAGCACATCCCCTCCACTGGCTCCAGTCTGGGTGACATCAATCTGCTGGAAACCCTCCGCTCAATCTACAACACCACCCGCCCCTGTGGGCATACACGCCAGGTCTGGGTGCAAGGGCGTGGAGGTGTGGAGGGACAGGTGTCCCGGGGAGGGGGGAGAGAGTACACAGAAGTGTGGGTTGAAGGAGCCACCCAAGGTACATGGTTGTCACAAGGGAACAAGAAGGTTACTGTGCGGTGGGGGCAAATAAAGTGGGTCTGTATCTTTGGGGGTTTCTGTCCCTGAGTGGATATCTCTCCCTGGGGTAGTTTCTTTCTCCTAGGTTCCCTTCTCCATTTTAGGGGCCTGGTCTCCACATTCTGGGGTCCTTGTTCAGGATCCCACCACTCAAGTCCCCTGTCTCCCAGCTCTTCATCTTCATGTCTGGGCTACCTCCCGACAAGGAAGCCATCGCAGCTGAGGTCTGCCATCACCACAACAGCCACCAGTAATGGGGATTCTCTGCCTCCAGTCCTCCAGTCACCCTTTGATTGTCCAGTCACTTCTATACCTGATGAGGGCCCCTGTTCACCAATTCCTGTCCCAATCCTTGGGCCCCTCCAGTGTCCCAAAACTCCTTCTCACCCTGCACAGCTCTCCTGAACCAAGCCGTGATGGGGGAGTCTTTGCTTATTACTCCCACAACCAAGGCACCTTTCAGAGAATGAGCAGGGAAACTGACACTGAAGGCTTGTATAGCCTGATGTGCCCCAAACTCTGCCCCAGACCCACTAGACCAAACTCAGCTCTGGCCCGAGTCTCATTTCTCCTCTGTCAGCTCCCTGTCTAACCCCAGCTCCAACTCTCGTCCCTCACTCCCTGCTCTTCCTCCTGCCCCCTTGTGCTGCACCTCAGCTTTGTTCCTCCAGCTTTAAGTCCAGCATATATTGTCCAGCTCTATCCTGGCATCTTTGCACCCACCGCTGGCTCTCATTTATGACACCTTGACACACTCCAGTCAGCAACTGGGGCGATGAGCTTTGTTCGAATTCTTGAAAGCAGAATTAAGACTCAAAACAGAGTCAAGCGCCAGGTAGCTTTATTTGCCCGACAGCTGGTGTGCATATAAAAAGGAGAAAGAGAGAGAGAAAAGGGAGGGGGGAAAAAGTTACCGCCATGGAATGTCAATGTCCTATCAGTCTGGTTTGGTGCCTAGTCTGGTGGGAGAACATGCGCCTTGTCCTTGCGTTTCTTCCATATGTCCTATCTGATGTTGCTTTCTGTACGTTCCCTTCTGTACATTCTGCCACCACACTGCTTGTTTTTGGCTCTTATGATGGTTGTTTTATTACATATTCATTGATTTCTATGCATATTCATCAGTCTCCACAAGTCCTTTATCATAGTCATTGGTTCCCACGAACGATTTAGCATATTCCGAGAGCTGTTTTGCCTAACAACCCCTACCACTTGGCAGTGGTGCGCATGTCCAATACCATCGCCTGGGGGTCTCAGACCCCGGGTCTGGGTGCATGTGCTGGTGTTAGATTAGATTAGCTTGGAATTGGGTCCATTTATCCATGGTACACATGCCCAACACCGTCACCTGGGGGTCTCAGACCCTGGGTCTGGGCGCATGTATTAAAGTTAGATTAGTGTTGCAGTTGGCCTTCCTCTGCAGTCAGAATGACTCTGCAAGAAAGGTGATGATGGTGCAACAGCAATATTGAGACAATATCTAATATAGTCTCTGACACACCTTTCCCTGCTTCTCCCATAGGTGTTTCTCCTTTTGCTTCTCTGAGGACAGTGCTGCCCTGGCTACAGCCCTGGCCAGGGAGACAGGGGGTGAAGCTACTTACATCTCCTGTGACAGCAGTATGATGGTTATGGTAGGAACTCAGGAGCCCTGTCAAGTCCCCCTCTATTCCACAGACACACTGACTTTCAAGTACTCCACCACTTGGACTGCTCACACATGACCTTGTGGAGCTGTGAACTGTGGTGTCCCGCCCTCTGCCCCAGGTGATTAAGTGTTTGAAGCAGGCCCTCAAGCCAGCAGCTGAGGGAGTCTCTCTGAGCTGGGCCCTGCCCCATGGCCTGGAGGTTGAGGTGCTGGGAGGCACCCCTCAGTCCATCTTTCAGAGTCAATACAGACTTCTCTACGCCCAGATCCATGGACAGGCACAGGTGAGAGTTGGGACTACCATCACCCTAAATTACCTCCCAATAGCCTCCCAGTAGCCATCAGTAATCTTTCAGTAACTTCCCAATATCCCTCAGTAACCATCTTGTGCCCCCACTAATCTCCAGTAGCTTCTCATGTGTTCCCAGGATACAATGGTGGACAAAGGGGCCATGACTTTGCAGTACAGCCTGGATGGCCACGATGTCACTCACACGATTGAATTCCCACTGTGCCCACAGGGAGATGGCCGGTGAGAGCCTGTCCTGAGGAAAGATGCATGCATCTCACTCATTTCTAGCATGGACTTCAGTTGAGAGGGAGCCCAGATAGCTCATGCATTCCCATCTTCCACACACGGTCCTAAACTGGCAGAGAACTTAGGTGTCCAAGCATGCCCTCCTTCCCTGCTTTGATCCCACAGGAGTAGGACCCGGGAACCTGGGCATCACTTCCCTCCAGTCAGTTTTATCCTGTGTCCCTCCTTAACCCTGAAGGAAGGGAACCCAGGTGTCCATGCTCTCTCTCTGTCCACCTTTCCCCAGCATGGACATGAGCTAGATGGTCAGGCCTCGCTCCTCTCTGTCCTCAGGCTGGCTGGGCATTGGCTGGCTGTGAAATGCTTGCTGGAGAGACTGTTGCCAGAGGCTGCGAGTGGGTCAGGGGATGAAACAAGGCATCGTGCAATAGAGATCAGCCTCACTTCGGGGATCATATGCCCCTTTACCAGCTATGTGGGGGTTCGCACATCACAGAGGATCGCCTGGTACCGAGGTAAGAAAAGACACCTGTGGGAAAAAGCTGGTAGGGCAGCTCCATGGGATGTTCTCATTCCACCGGAGCTGGAACCCTAGCCAGAGGGTACCCCCAGTGTCATGAGGTAGGCTCCATCACCACCAGATGCTTCTTTCCCATGTGCTTAATTCAGCCCCTTTCCTTGTTTGCCCTTGAAGGGTCCCTGGCGCTGTTGCCACCCCGCCAGTCACTCATTCCCTGCCAGATCATTGAGCTCCGTGGCTCCAGTAATGTTTCTTCTTGCTATCCTACGAGCATCTGGGTCCCATCTGGCTGGCTGACAGCAGTGTGTGCATCATGGCTTGCCCTCCGTCAACTCACCCATGGCATTGCTACCCTGCCCCAGCGGGGGGCTTGCTCAAAAGGTATGGGGCCTTGACTCAGATGGGAGATGTAAGGATAATCTAATATCTAATAGCAGGGTTATGTTGCCATGTCTTGTCCATGGCATGGAAACCAATTTATTTTGCCTTTAACCCTTCCTTTAGTTACCCTTAAACATGCAAGTCCTTCGGCAAATACGAGACCCAGCTCAGGGACACCCACAATGGGGACAGGGACAGTGCTAGATCATAAATACACATTTGGATAAGATGTGTTGGGAGATGTGTTGGGAGACTATCAAGAGAGGTCTTGGGACATGGCTGGGCAGGAACGTCAGGAGAGGAGGCAACGGTCAGCGTTGTGAGAGAGTTAGGGGTCTCCAGAAAGGGCTGTGGATGGGAACGTTTTGGGGACATGCAAGAAGGGGGTTAGAATGCAGGTAGCAGCCCCAAGAAGAGCAGAGAAGATGTTCTGGGGCATCGCACAGGGGAGTAGAGAGGGGTCAGCTTCCTGTGATTATCCCAACCCTCCTGTTCACATCTTCTTCCACAGCATGTGAACCACCACCACCATCTGTTTCTTCTCTAAAGTATGTAGATCCCATGGAATTTGTTTTGCGCTCTCCAGTTTTTGGGCCTTGGTTCACTGAAGTCATTGCTGAGTGCCAGAAGCTGGTGGCACTGCAGAACATAGATGGCTCCTGGACCCTCAGCTCAGGAGTGGCCTCTGTACTGGAAACAGATGAGGCTGAAATCAAAGGAAAGATGCCTGCTGAGGTGAGGGGAGAACCTCTTATGATGGCAGCATGTCATCCTGGGGCAGTGGGAACACTTTGGCTGGTGGCACCACTGGCATTCAAAAGGCAGCCAGAGAGGAATGAAGGAATCAGAAACTAGAAGCTACAAAGAAAGGAGGAAAGGAGTGAGGGGGCAGGGAGGATGCTCAGCAATGCATTCTGGTCTGAGTCATTGTTCTCCCGCAGGTCACAGAGCCAAGCATCTGGGCCACCGTGCTGGCTGTGACCTGGCTGCACAGAAACGGCAACTGTTACCAAGACCTCTGTGAGCTGTTGGAAGCCAAGGCTGTGACCTGGCTGTGCAGCCGAGCTGGTGAGTCTTGAGGGTCCTCACAGCACAGCCTCCTCCCTTCTCTCCCCAGTGGGACCTGCCTCACTCCTTTGCAGGACCACAATTTCCTGGGGGAAGATGAAGGAGTCCCGTGTCCCGTTTCTGTTTTCCATCTGTGGATTCTCCCTCCTGCCTGACTGGCCCTGCCTGAGCGTTCCTGTCTCTCCCTGACTGCAGTGTCCCAGCCGGACAAGTGCCTGGAGGCAGTCAATACTCTCCTTGGGAGCAGCGTGAAACCAAGTGTCTTCAGGCTCTGAGATCAATACATGGCCTGTGCTACAGACCAGCAGCACTTGCAGAGCTAGAATGGGCCAGAAAGTATAGCTGAAATTCACCTACCATGCTGGGATACCACAGTTGCTACCAGCTGGGATACCAATTTATAGATGACTTCTCACTGCTTATGTCTTTCGAGTTGGGCTGAACCTGGATCATGCTGAATTAAAGAGAAAACTTCCAGTTCAGAGCCTCCAGCATGTTTGGTATGAAGGAATCATCACATTCCCCAGTGGTTACCCTTCCTGAATTCAGCTTTGGTAAAATGGGCTTAGGGACATGGTTTTGTGGTGGACTTGGTAGTGTTAGGTTAATGGGTTCAAATTTGTGTCTTCTGGGTGTTTAACACCTTTCTTTGAAAACCAGCCTATGCAGCTAAGGAAAGTTTTGTGCTTGTGTGCAGGGAGTCAGAACCTGCAAGGAGCTCTGGCTGCAGGATCTGATTCATTGCTGAGAGGCTCATAGACAGTGGTGAGCAGCATGTTTCTCAGGTGTCTGGTGAAGTGATCATAGAAACATAGAATGTATTGGGTTGGAAGGGACCTTTCAAGATCATCTGCGTAACACTCTCTTCTGGCCTCAGGCTGTTCAGCAGCAAACAGGATGCCCTGATACTAAAATTAAAGACTTTCAGGGCAGAATCTTTTTTAATTATCCACCACCATGCATGCAGTCCACTGCAGCTGATTCCCAGGAGACTGTCAATCCAAGTACCGTGGAATAATTTGTGCATAGGCCTTTTTTGAAGGCTGTCTCTCTGCGGTGGGCTGACTGTGGTAAAAGCTGGGGTCTTTCTCCTGTAAAAAGATGAAAAAGGGGCTACTTTAAATCCCTGAGTGTTTGGGATAGGAAAAAAAGATTTCAAGCTGTTGATGTGAATACGCAGAGGACCTCCTCAAGAGCAGCAATTGCTAGCATTTGGGGGAAGAAGCAAGGGACATGGGTGTGGAACCCATTCCCACACAGGCCTTTGCTCCTGTGCTGGACAAGAGCGGGGACACAGGCAAATGAATATTCCCAGAGATGCCACAAAAATGAGCTACCGACCAAGGGGAAAAGGTTCCAGTCTCCTTATAGACACTGCAGAGAAACCTTGGGAGGATGTGCACGATTAGGTCCAAATTTCCTCTGTGACTGGTGAGACTTTAACGTATCAGAGGCTGTAGAAGACAGGTAATCCCCCAGACTGTCCTAGCAAAATCATGCAGTCAGTTCCATCTCCTAGCCACAGAAACTGAGCTCAGAAATACAGGTTTCTTCTGCAGGACGAGGCTCCTTCAGGAGGCACTGAAGGCATGATCAGAGGACGGGGCACCTTTAAATACCTCAGCTCACCCCTACCACTTACAGACATGGTCTTTAACAGGGAAACACTCTGCACAAGTTTGAATCAAAGAAGGGAATGTGTACACACTTCCCCTGTCCAATACCCAAATGGGTGCATTCCCTACCACATAAACACATACCTTGGTTCCTGAGGGTATTTCTATCCCTATTCCAAGGACAGATAAGGAGAAGACATCCATGGGGAGCAAGCACGAGTTAGAAGGGATAAGAACTCCGAAGATTCAGGCCACGAGACTGATGTCATGATGTAGTTTAGATGACACACAAACATAATTTCTGTCAGAGGGCAAGGGTCAGGAAAATGCCCCCCCCCCCTTTCATTTCAGAGCCTATTCGGAAGTATGAGCTGTCCACATCAAAAGCATCCCTGGTTTGAGGGTGAAAGGAAGGCTGGAATGAGTTAAAAAAAAAAGGAAGATTTGAGCTGAAAAGTTCTGCTTCTGGTCTCCCAGTCAGACTCCCTACCCCCCGCCCGCCAAAAAAAAAAACAACCCTGTGCCTCTCATTGGCTCTTGGAAAGCCCCGCTCTCTAATCTGCCTAGCAACGTTCGCCGCTGGGCTCTCATTAGCTCTTGGAAAGCTTCAGGGGCGCGGACTCAATAAGGCTTTTTGGCGCATGCGCTCCCTGGGAAGCCTGTCCCCCTTTCCCACTCCGCCACACGTACATATGCGCGTGCGTACAGCGACAGGAGGCGCCTTGTAGTTCCGCCGTTTCGCGAGCAAGAAAACTGCGCCTGCGCACTACTCACTGACCTGGTGGGCATACGCCTGCGTTGTCCCGCCGTGCCCCGGA